AGCCTCTTGGGGGCTTCTTGGGGCTTCCTGGGGGCCTCTGTGGGCCTCTTGGGGGCCATTTGGGGGTTTCTCGGACCTTCTGGAAGCTTCTCGGAGCCGAGAGCTCGAAATGTCCATTCGGGTCCCCCGTATGGGCGCCCTCTTGGAGCCATGTTAGGGGCCTCTTGGGCTGTCTTGGAGGTCTCTTGGGCCGTTTTGGGGCCCTCGTGGGTCTGTTTCAGTTTCGGGCCTCTTGGGCCGTCTTGGGGCGATCTTGGGGGCCTCCTGGGCCGTCATGGAGCATCGGGAAGCAAGAAAAAGGCGCGAACGCTTAAACCCTTAAAAACATGTGAAAAATCAGTGAATGTTGCCTCTTGGGGCTCCTTGGGGGTGCTCTTGGTAGCCTCTTGAGGCGTCTTGGGGGTGGGGGCCTCTGGAGGCAGTCTTTGGCGTCTTGGACCGATCGCTCGGCTACTCGGGGCCGGCTTGGACCGTCCTGGAGGTATCTTGAGGCACTATTGGCCCCTTTGGGGGGCCTGTGTGGGCCCCAGGACGCACGGGGGAAATGGCATTCTGACCCGGCACCCCCCCTGCGACCCCCCTTCGGGACACCCCCTCGGGACCGCCCCCCAGGACCTCCCACCTCCCCCCCCCTCCCCCCCCGAGGCGGGGAAGGGATCGGACGGAAGGGGGCTTCCTTGCTCGACGTAGGAAGGGAAGGGATCGGAGGGAAGGGAAGGAGAGGGATCGAAGGGAAGGGGGATTCGACTCAGGGAGCCCACCCTTCTCCCCCCCCTCCCCCGCCCGGCGGGCAAGGGATCGAAGGGAAGGGGGCTTCCATTCGACTCAATGACGACGTGGCTCAATTTCGCCCTGGCTGGGAGAGCGCGACGAACGCAGGAGAAAAATACAACGGGCCCAAGGAAAGGGAGATCAACCGCGATGGCGACGGCGACGACGAGGAGGAGGAGGACGACGACGACGAGAACGGATCAAACGGAACAGCGACGCGCACACGCCAGCAGGGTCGGCGGATTTCTTCCAGGTGGTGCGCGGTGACCCCGACAAGTTGGTGATACAGTTCCAGGCAGGGGGGGCGTGCTGGAGCGAGGCCACGTTCAAGCTCGGCGTGTGCAACAGGAATCGGGGAAACGTAAGACTCGAGTAAGCCGGAACTAGAGTTTGCCGACTCTTTTTTGACAAGCGCGTCTTGGAGTTTGACGGTCCCGTTTTCGTGGGATATTTGCAGCGGGAGCCCGCGTCAAATTTCAGATTGGGTCTCGTCATTTTTATGATGGCCCCTGTCAGGCCAACCCGAGTCCCCCGTACCCGGGTCTTACGTCTCCCTGGAGGCAGTGCATGCCCGACTCGAACGGCATGTTTAACAGGGGCCAGGCGGCCAACCCTTTCAAGAACTACACAATCGTGAACATCCTGTACTGCAGCGGGGACATGTTCGTGTCGAACCAGACCAGTTCGTGGGGCGGCGGGGAGGTCCAGCAGGTCTAAGGGAACAGAAAGTGACATAAACATAAAAAGAACTCGAAGGTCCGCGCGGATTTCTCGGATCGGCGCTGGGCCCACCGGCGGCGCCTCCGGCGCCGCCCCTGGCGCGCTCCGCGCGCCAGGGAGGGGGGGTCCAGCGCCGATCCGAGAAATCCGCTGCGGACCCTCCAAAGTGTTTTATGGTATGTCGCTTTTTGTTCCCTAAGGTCGGCCTGTCGTGAACACCGAGGCCGCGCTCGCCTGGACGGAGGCCAACTTCCCCTCTGTGGACTCCTGGTGCTTTCGGGACAGCTCGGCCGCCGGGTCGCTCGCGATGCAGGTATCTCGGGGCTCAAGGGACACGGGTGGTCAAACGCAAACGGGGGGTCAGTCAGCAGAGCGCTTGGATTTGCAGGATCCTGCAGGGCCAGGGTCGCATTTACCCGGGTTTGGGCGCAGGATCCTGCAAGATCTTGCAAGCTCCTTTGCATTGACCCGGATCTGGGTGCAGGATCTCGCAGGATTTTCCAGGAGTCTACAAGTCCTGGCTGACCCGGGCCTGGATCCCGGGTCAGAAGATCCCCGAGTATCCGAAGATCCAAAAATCGCGCACGGCAGGGTTCGGTCGTGTCGACCGGCAGCGATTCCGCCGCCGGCGTTCGCCGCCGGCGTTTCAACGTTGAACGCTTCTGGCTTTCTGCCTTTTCTGTTTTTTTTTTTATGGCTTTTTTTTTTTTTTTTTTTTTTTGTTTTTTTTGTTGTTTGTCTTCTTTTTTCTTGTTGTTTATTTTCTTTTTTGTGCTGTTGTTTTTTGTTTTTTTTTTTTTTTTATGTTTTTTTTTTTGCTTTTTTTTGTTTTTTCTTTTTTTTTTTTTTTTTTTGTTTTTTGTTTTGTTTTTTTGTTTTTTTGATTTGCTTTTGTTTTTTTTTTTTTTTTTGTTTTTTTTCTTTCTTATGTTTTTTTATTTTTTTTTTTTATTTGTTTTTTGGTTTTTATCTGTTTTTTTTTTTTTTTTTTGTTTCGTTTTTTTTTTTTGCCTTTGTGTCTTGTTTTCTTTTTTTATTGTTTTTCTGTTGCATTTTTTCTGAATTTTTGTTTCATTGTGTGTTCTTTTTTTTGTTTTCTGTTTTGCTTTTTTTGTTTTTTTTTTTTCCATTTTTTTTGCCAGTATTTTTCGTGCTATTTTTTTTTTTTTTTCTTGTTCTTTTTTTTTTTGCCCTTGTTTTTTTTTTTTGTTTGTTTTTTTTTTTTTTTGTTTTTTTTTGTGTTTTCTTTGTTTTGTCTGTTCCTTTTTGCCAGGCGACCTAGGATCGGTCGATGTGGATTGATCGCGTCGTCTCGGAAACGGCGAACCGTTCCAAGTTTGAACGATTCCCCGCGGTGTCAGGAAACCAAACGCCGGGGTCGCCACAACACGAACCTCCTTCTATCTGTACTTTTCTATTTTTTTAGAACCTGCAGTAAACAGAAGTGCTCGAAGATTCGTGCGGAGTTCTTGGATCGGCGCTGGGATCCTAGGGACCCCCTGGCCGGCGCCTGCGGTGCCGCCCCATCCTTGGCACGCTCCGCGCGAGAGGGAAGGGGGGTCCAGCGCCGATCCGAGGCATCCGCGTGGACCTCGGGAAGTTTCGTGCTGATGCCGCTTATTGCTCCTCTTGGTCGTGTGGTTCTTCATTTGGCGGCGAGCGAGGGGGGGGAGTGAGAGGAAGAAGGCCTTCTCTGAAGGCGGCGGGACTTCTCAGAAGCCCTCGCGCCTTCTGCAAAGCTCTTGGTGTCTTCGGGGACGGCTTGGAAAACTTCTCAGAAGGCCAGGGGGCTTCCGAGCCTTCTTAGAAGGCCCGCCCCTTCTCGCTTTCCCCCTGGGCTCGCCGCCGATCTAGGTTGTGTGGTCCTCCATTGGAGCTTCAGTGGGTCCGAGCATTCCTTGCGGTGTTGGAAGGTTTGTCCAGAACTCGTCGGACTCCGTTGGCATTTGGACGACATCTGACAGAAATCTGGACGAAAGGGTGAAGCGGGGCAGTCGAAATCTTGACCAAATGCAGTCGGAATCGTTTTTATAATCGGACCGCAGAAGTCCACAGAGGCTCCCGTGAAGGCTCACCTGACTCCTAGGTGTACGCGTCGATGATCCTCGGAAGGTTCGCGGGCAGGTTCGGCCGAGCCGTGGCGCTGGCGGACTCTTTCGTGGGCGTGGCGCCGCCGAACATGCAGGCGGGGCTCATAGAGAGTTACAACATGTGCCAGACGCCCATGGTGCGGGAGAGCGCAACATTCAGCGCGATGTGCGCGTCGGGGGACCTCACCATCCAAGAGATGTTCTACGACACCATGAAGGCGTGGCCCAATGTGACATTCGCCAACATCAACAGCAAGACAGACCTGATACAGATCCTGTTCTACGACCTGTGGACGGACTTTGAGGCGCCCCATTATGCAAACATCGAAGGCATCCGCTACTTCGTCAGAGTCAATGACTACCTCGACAGGTACAACGAGTCGCCGAACTACATCTCCTACCTGCTCAACGGAGGCCACCATGTGTTCTTGGAGGACAACGTCCTTTACACCGCCGACCCGCAGGGCGAAATGGGCAGAGGCTTGGTGGCAAAGCCCCTGCTTGTCGACTGGATTTCTGGCCTGGTCGGAGAGGCAACATACGCCTCCGCAAGTTCAGTATGCAACGGCATTAGGTACGATCGAACCTTCTGGTCAAAGTATTTGGCAGGGGTGCTGTACTGCGCCGCTGAGCAGACCCCCAAGTTTGCATCGCTTTCGTGACGGAGCTGGACGACGGGCAAATTGTTCGTCGGCTAGCTTCTCATGTCTCATTTCCCTCATCTCATCCATCCTCCTCCGTCTCTTCTTTTCTCCGCAGCGTGGCCGTGGCTGACAATGTAATTGTGCCCGGTCCGCCCCATGAGGCGTTCCCCTGATGGGCCCTAGTCGGCAGGGGCGCCCGATTTGGAGACCAGATGGGAAATCCGGGTGCGTGCACCAACTGGTGGTATCCGTATCGCACCCCGTCCGCAACAAGTGTTTCGTCGTTGTGTTCGAAGCAGAGGTAGCGCTCGTTGACAGCGCTTGCGGTACCATAGTCGCCACGCCAAGATGAGCATGCAATCATTCACCAGCGCTTCGTACCACCATCATGGCCACTTTCAAAGTTAGTTATGACGATCATAACGAACGCCCACGCCATCATAGACTAGCGTGAATTACCACAATTGTGACCATCAGTATGCGGAGCGAAAGCACCGTGAGCGCTTACGTACATGTCAGCTGGGTACCGCGCGGTCTACTCTTCATTGCAATGCTACAGCGCGTTCACATGCCCTCTCCGCTCCCCCTCCCCTTCCTCCTTGCCACCCTTCCTCGTGCTGATCATCCTGCTCCCTCCCCCCTTACTTTCGTGCCCCTTCTCCCCCATCGTCTGCCTTTATCTGTTATTCCCCCCTATCCCTGAAAGTCCTTCGTTGTTGTCCCAACCATCCTGTGCTGCTGGGCCCTCGTTTTGAAAAGACAGCGTCCCGCGTTTCTCCTCCCGCTGCCCCCTCCTCCCCATCCTCCTATCCCTGCTTTTGCCCTCCGCGCCAGCCAACCACTTCGGCACACTCCTCACACGCTTCGCTGCCACAAAGGGACCTTCACCGAAAGCCCCTGTGTCTGCGCTCGCATGGCACCACCGCGCCCAGCCCGGCACACGCCTCATACGTTTCGCGGCCCCATAGGGAGCTCCACCGAGGGTCCCAGTGGCTGCGCTCGCATGGCACCACCGCTCCAATTTCGGTACACCTCTCACACACTTCGTGGCCTCATAGGGAGCTGACCAGCTGCTCCTCGTCGAGAGGCTTGTCTCCTAGGCCCAATCGCAAAGCATAGTGGGGGCCAAGACACAGCTGATCCTGTGGCACTGCTTGACCCTGCTTGCGAGGACCGTGCACACTACGAAATCGTCGATCTTTGAGCCATCGCCGATCCTGCACGCGTTCTGGCCGCAGCTGAAAGGCATGCCGCCAATCTTCTGCAGCCAGCCCCACTCCTCCAGGGCCGCTGAGTCGCAGTTCCAGTCGCCCCCCAGTGCGAACGGCACCTGGACGCGCTGGAGGAATTCGCCCAGCTGGCCTGCGTAGGATCAGCTGACTCTCGGCGTCCAGCCCCGAGCCAGTGACCAGGTAGAGGCGAGACGCAGAGCACCCCCCGGGCACCCTTGCACGGAGCCGCTGAGCGCAGACCCGCTCCCTCGGGAGCTTGACACGTGAGGGCGGCGGGGGGCCCATGCCGACGTGGCCCCTGGACCCGACCCCCACTCCGCAGGAGATGCCACCCTCCTCGGTGCGCAGCGACTCGTGCCGAGCGGCATATCCCAGCCTTGCATATCCCAGCCTTCCTTCCTGCAGGCTTGCTCCGCCCCAGCGCGCCCTCCCGGGGCAATTCCAACCCCCTGCAAGAGGGGGATGTCGCCCTTCGCCCCCTTGTTGAGCCACGTCATGAGGCTCCCACGGCTCGTGGCGCTCGCCGCGGTCAGCGCCCACTGCCGTGGTCTGCGCTCCTTTCCATGCGCCGCCAGCCCCTGGGCGCGACAGCGGCCGCGACGCCCGAGGCAGCTCCTTGGGCTGCGTTGCTGTCGCCGCCTCGGAGCCGCTCGGGCAGAGGGATGCCCTGGGCTGGGAGGAGCTCGGCCCACTGTTTGCTCTTCGGTCTCGTCAAGAGCGGCGAGGGCGGCGCTGAACTCTGAGCAGTCCGTGTGATCTCCGCCGTTGCCAGCGCCGCTGGCGGGAGGAGGCCCAGCAGGAGCACCACCACCGGGAGCATCGAGATCCACGAACGCCTTGGCCGAAGCGGCCCTGACCTCGATCCGCATCTTGCCCGCGGCTGCGCAGCGCGAGGGCATCTCGACCGCAGCGCCAGAGTCGACCGCTTCCAGGCCATCGGGCTGGCCCTGGACCGCCGCCACGCGCGGAGCGGCCGGGGGCCGCCTGCGCCGCCGCCTGCTGTTCCTCCCAGGTCTTGTCCGGAGCGGCAGGCGCCAGCCCGGCAGCCCCAGCTCCTCATCCTCCTCCTCCTCCTCCTCCTCCTCCTCCTCCTCCTCCTCCTCCTCCTCCTCCTCCTCCTCCTCCTCCTCCTCCTCCTCCTCTTCCTCCCCCTCCTATGCGAACGCTGTGCCTCCTCCTCATCCTCCTCATCATCATCCAGGAGCCGCCCAGGCACAAGCGCCCGCGTGCTCCCCCCAAGGCCAGTCCCGCACACCACATCTCTGTGTGCAGGAAGCCAGGGCAGAGCAGAGGGACGGTGCCGCTCGGGCAGCAGCGACAGCAGCGCAACCACACTCCCCCCACACACCCGATTAATGAATGAAGTGGATATTTCACAATGTTCAATGGGTAGATTTTACGAGGATGGAAGAGATATCTACACAGGTGGAGAGCGTAGACTTTTTCGTTGCAATCGGCACGGGACGAGCAGCGAGGCAAGCGGATGTTACCAAATGCCAGCTCCCACATCACCAAGCAGTAATTTTCGGATGGAGACGATCGAAGACCACAAACAACTCGTGCGGACTGAGTATCATGTATGGAAAAAGATGTCGGGGAACACTTATGAGAGTTGCCACGCCACCGCCACACTTGGGTATCACAGGGCGGGTTGCGATGGCACACTTCAATTTGGGCAGTACTACCTTGGCGATTTTCCCCATTTACATACCACCGAAGGGGCTGGCAGTTACAATGCTGAGAGCTACCACAAAATTTATCCTGGACTGGATCGAGAGAGAAGTTGACAAACTGGGATGTTCATGTATGCCGATAGTTGCAGGCGACTACAGCTGTGGATTTGGATGGCAGACAGATCACACTGGGCGAAGATTCAAGACAGAGTCGGGGAATGTAGGCATAAAAGAGCCCGCAATCGAGAGCAAAACGAGCACGCAGGTACGTGACTTCCTACAAGGCAGCTACCTGGCCATGGCGGACACATTTTGGACCACGGGGCCAACATTCTACAATGGCGCGCACAAGAGCAAAATAGATCACATCGCAATGCCTATTGAGACCTCGGGCGGACTCGGCAACTACACCCGCTGCTGGGGCTCGCGCGACGACTACAAAGACACGTCAGCACACACCTGCATGACCACGCACCAGTATACGTGAACATGGACATCCACGTCATGCGTGCCCACATCCCCAAGCTGACGCCGCCAGCAAACAGAGACAGCTTAATGGGAGCATGCAGCGACGGCGTACGACGGGTGGAGTTTTTACAAAAAGTCGAGCAGCACGCCAGCGACATCAGCGAAGAGGAGTGGCGCAGCAAGTGGGACCAAGGCGGCGCGCAGGGGCGCTGGGACAGGTTATCATCATGTATTCGGCAGGCCATGGCAGACAGCTTCCCCAAAGTAGCGCACGGCATGGCAGAGTACGAACAAATGAGACAATAACGGATTCTGTTGTTGAAAGAAAGAGGGCGCCTGAGGGAAGCAGTTCGCCAGACGGGCCTCAAGGCGTTCGACGGCGAGGGATCAACAGAGTCCGACCGCATCGAGGCAAGACTGCACCAGCTATCACGACAGCTTCAACACGTCAGAAGAGAGCAAAGGCTGAGGACAACAATGTGCCTCGCGCAGCTGATCAACACGGCTTGGAAGAAAAGGAAGCTGGCCGAAGCCCATCGACTGCGAGCGCAGCTGCCCAACAAAGGCCGAGGACCGAAGAAGAGATTCATCTTCGCCCCCCGCGAAGGCATGACGCTGCAGCAGTGGGAGGAGGGGCTCGCGCAGGCGGCTGAAGACGGCGGCATGCAGTGTAGGCGAGCACAGTGGGATGCATGGCTGGCAGACCGAGCGTTCCTCCCCCAGCTGTACGGCTCGCCCGACATCGTCGATAGGATTAAGCAGGACAGAGCAGGCCAAGTGAGGTACCTAAAAAGAGCTCCAAAACGACGTGCGGGACCATCATGGGGAGCACTCGCAGAGGCCCTGTGTATGCGCACCGACCCGAAGAGATACCGAAACGACAACGACCGAAAGTTCGTGCCAGAAGCGTTCTCAAGAAGATGCAGTGACATGCTGGCCCTCATCAGACTTGTAGGCCCGGCCCCCCTCAGCAGCACACGCAGTCCGCAATTTTCCCAGAGCAAGAACAGCCAGAAGCAGGGTATCAAGGGACAAAGTATCCCCCACTGTTTCGATGCCTTTGGGATGAGTTATTTCGGGTACCTCCAGCGGACTTCCAGAAGGCCAAGCCCACCAGATTTCGCGCACGGAGGAATAAGGGGACGTAGACGAGAAGGATGCATACTTAGTCTAGCAGCAGCAAGCTGGAGATGCAGGCAAGCAAAGCTTGGGCACGCCATCAGCAACTACGACGGCGCGAACGCTTTCGCACGCGCGCATAAGAGCAGCATCACTAGCCTACACAGCAGCACATACAGAGCTGACGACGTTCAACTAGCAGATCAAGCAGCATTGCAAGCAACCGTACATGTTGAGGCTAGTGATGGCACGGCAGATTTTTACCCAGAGCGCGGCGCGACCATGGGCCACTCGCTGGCGGCAGGCGACGTCGTGGATATTTATTCGCCCACGGTGAAGGACTGGAATGACAGCCTCGCCGCCGCGGACATAAGTTATGCGTGGGCCCGTGGTCAGTGCCCAATTACCCGAGCCGAAGTCGACGCTGGCGTTGGACTATTTGTAGACGACGTATCACGATTACATATTCATGCTTATGCACCGCAAGCACGCTACATCACACAGCAGCTCAATCACGCCACCCAGGGGCTCCAGGAGCACATCGCCAAGAACAGTCATGTCCTCAACAAGGACAAGACAAACCATCTTATCAGTGGTTATGGCCACGGCTCGTTCGAGGCGGCACGAGAACTATCCAGGCAGAAAACAAGCCAGGGAGAAGTTCTTCGAGAAGCCAGAATCCTGGGTTCTATCATGAGCTTCGACGGTGCTTTGAGGACAGAGCTGAAGGCGCGCATCAAAGGAGCCAGGGCCGCATGGAGATCGCTGGGAGACCTTTGGCACCAGCCGCTCCATCACCGATTGTTGCGCACCCTCTTCCTGTGCTTTGTTTACAGCGCCGCCATCGCTGGCCTGACGGCGTTCGTGCTGCCTGCGTCCACTACCAGCCAGCTGGACACAGTGCTGGCGAAGATGCTGCGCTGATTGGTGCACGGAAACGCAAAAAAAGAGTGCTCGACGGGCGCATTAGGACTCTGAGCGACAGTGAAGTGTTCGAGCATTGGAGCATCAGCCGTACAGCCACAGAGCTCCGAGTACAGCGAATCCGTTGGTGGCAGCAAGTAGCAAAGGAGCCTAGCAATCACAGGCAAACCCTCACGGCCATCTCCGGGACGTTGGAAATGGATAGGCTACTCGAGGTCTCCAGATGCACTCCAGAGGGGCACCTTACGAGGCACTCTACACCGTGGGCATACCAGGTTCGGGGCGACCTAGAGGCTTTGGCGAACGCCGACCCCCGCTTCGACACGATTTGGACCGACAGATAAATGCGCTGCATGTATTCAAAGACCCCGACCTCGGAGCCAGGTTCGCCAAGATTTCAGTGGGCACCCAAAGGGGCTTCCTTAGCATAGAGGGCTCAAAGAAGCTGGCCAGTTTCTTACTGAAGATTGGAATCACAACGCTCGACGAGACGACGCCCCCGCACATCACCGAGCACCAGCACGAGGGGGACAGCAGCAGCAGCAACAGCAGCATCATAGACGAGTACGTGTGCACGCACGAGATCGGAGAGGAGGGCGAAGGGCGAGGACGCGGCATGTCGTTCTCCATTTTGAAGGCGTTCACGGCACACATCACGCACGCACACAACATGCGCAACTTGCACTCGATGGTCGTGAGCGCGAACGTATGCCCATGGTGCAGATCATGGTTCGCGAGCAGAGCGCCCTGTTTACGGCGCGTGATCACCATGTCCCGCTCCGACCCCCCTCGGCGCCCCATCAGAGCCACTTCTTTCGATTTCAAGCCAGAAGGGAAGAGCTTTTACACGTGCGGAGTCTGCGGTAAGGAGGACTCCGAGCTCAACGAACACCCACTACACGTCGCCACTCACGCGCTCGGCCCATCAGAGAGTCACGGCGTGGAGAGCAGGAAGCGGCGCGAGATCAAGGCAACGATCGGGGACAATGGAGGCAGCAGCGGAAGAAACAGCTCCAGCACGAAAGAAAGAAGCACGTGGAGGTTTGAAGAAAAGTGCCGGCAGCAAGCCTGGCTCAGGCGAGGGTGCTACACACGAGGAAACCATGCCATTGCAGAAAATGTCGCGCAATAGCGCCCAGATGCTACGACTGGTATCAGGCAGCCTATGGGGCTTCTTCCTGGCAGAGGGCGACAACAAACCAGTGGAAGCCGCGGCAGAAGGAGGGATCAACTACGCAGAGGAGGTCAAGCCCAGCAAGGACATGGGACCCCACACCTCCACACGGGGGCAGAGTTCTTCCCGGAGCTAGCCAAGAGCGACCAGATCAGCGGCGAGACGAAGGACATACTCACACAGCTTGCGGAGCTGATCGAGGTGATGAACAGGGAGGACTTCGCGGACATTATATCATACTTTCGTGTGAAGAAAGCTTACACGGAGCCAGGCCAAACGCAGACACGGAAGATCCACATCATGTTCAATCCCCTGAGCCCGTCGCCATGGACACAAATCTGAAGGACGAGGCGAACGCGCTCAGAGTCGGCAGCGAGAAGGCGGAGATCGAGTTCGGCACATTCGGGGTGCAGGACATTCGGCAGGCCACCTGTTGCGCCCTCAAAGCGATGCAGGCCCAGCAGATCTTCGGAGCGCCGCCGCCTTCAGCGCTCGAGAGACAGCTCCAAGCAGCGCTCAGAGCGCGCCAGCAGCAGGCGCAGTAGATATCGAGGGATTCCGCGCCGTGGCACAGAGGGGCAACAAGAGAGCCCAGGCACTGCTTGCACAACTGAGTCGCCAACAGTGAGCAGTGCACGGGCCCCAGATTGCATATTCAGAGCGTGCAGGTGTTTTTTCTGTTTTCCTTCATGTTTTTGTGCTTCAGAGTATCGTTACCTGTCCGAGGCCAGGAGGCCAAGCGGACATATCACATGAGTGACAGATATGATGCAACAGGATCTCGTCTCAGGCCGAGGCCAGAGCCCGAGCACTACCTGCCCGTGCCTTAGAGCGTCACCGTGGGGAGGGGGGTGGAGTGGAGGAGTGGGCGGGGTTGGAGGCGTCTTCTCAGCTGCACACACAGTAGACGGGTCTCGCTTGGCAAAGACTGGCACAAGTTTGACCCGTGCTCCCGAGTCGGAGGGGATGGGCCAGAAGGTCATAAACCTCCGCCGCTACGTTCCAGGTTTGTGAATTTTCGACGGGCTCGGCATCGAGCTGCAGCGGGCCCAACGGGCCTAACAAGGCCAGGGGTCCCGTAGGCTGACCCCCTGTAATGCCGATAGCGCCGCCAGCAGCTACTGAGCTCGCACACATGCGAGACACGTCCCAGCAAAGTAGCAGTGGACTCACCAGCTGCCAAGGCTTCCGACTCCGACTCATCATCATTCTCCTCTTCCTCCTCATCCTCCTCTTCCTCCTCATTCTCCTCCTCCTCCTCCTCCTCCTCCTCCTTGCCCCTCCCCCCTCTCCCGTCCCTCCCCCTTCCCCCCCCCGAAAGCTGGACGTCACCGACCAGTTCGGGATCGCGGGCGTCGCGCAGCCAGGCCCTGGCGCCGGCATCGCGGTGGAGATGAGCGACGGCAAGGTCCTCCCCCGCCGTCGTCGGTCGTCTCCGCCGAAACACCGCCGTCGTCGTCGTCGTCGTCGTCGTCTGTGTCGTCGCCGTTCCCGCCGCCGTCGTTGCCGTTCGATCGTCGTTGCTCGGTCGTCGCTTGGCGGCGGCGACGACGGCCAGAACGACGGCGGCTCCGGTGGCACCTGCTCGGCACCACGAGCCTATGGCGGGCGGCACGCGCGCAAGCGCGCGCCTGGGGCGGCAGGAGCGCATCATCGTGGTCTCGCACATGGGCGAGTACATCGACGACCGCCCTCCGCACAGGGCGGGAGGGGGGACGGCGTCGTTGTGCTCGTCGCAGTCTACGGTCGGGGAAGGTACCCTACTGTTTTTCGTGATTGCCGCAGGTTCTTGTGCATCTTGGAAGGGGTACCCTTGGATGTTCTGTGTGATTTGGCCTGCGGAGGGTCTCATGTTCTTGAAGGATGTTATTCTAGTCTTGGTCCGGCTGTACGTCGTCTGCGTCGCCGTCGAACTTGCCGCTGCCGCCGGAAAGGAGTGGGAGGTGGATGGTTCCAGGGCGGCTGCCCAGGCTCTTGCAGGATGGGGGGTGCTCCAGGGAGGGTTGTGGGAAGTCCTTGGAGAGGAGGAGGAAGGAGTAGAACAAGTAGAGGGAGGTGGAGAGGGAGGAGAGAAGGAGGAGGAGGAGGAGGAGGAAGAGGAGGAGAGGGAGACTGATTTTGAGGAGGAGAGGAGAGATGTGTGGGGAGGGATTTAGGAAGTCTGATGAGTTGAAGTGCGGAAGCCCTAGGGTTGAAAGGACTTTGTGGGGTCCCACGAGGAGGAGGCGGCGGAGGAGGAGGAGGAGGAAGAGGAGGAGAGGAAGATGGATTTTGAGGAGGAGAGGAGAGAGGTATGAGGAGGGATACTGGAGGTCTTCTGTTTTGAAGTGCGGAAGCCCTAGGGTTGAGAGGACTTTTTGGGGTCCCACGAGGAGGAGGAGGAGGAGGAGGAGGAGGAGGAGGAGGAGGAGGAGGAGGAGGAGGAAGGGGAGGAGAAGGAGGAGGAGGAGGAGGAGGGGGGAGGAGGAGGAGGAGGAGGAGGAGGAGGAGGAGGAGGAAGAGTGAGGAGCATGAGGATGGTCATGAATGTCTGTAGCTTTCTGGGCTCGAAGGGGTCAGGATGCCCGTGAGATTGAGGAGAAAAACGGAGCCGATGAGAGAGGAGAAGGAAGAAATGCATGGGTTGTGTGGGAAGGGAGAGGAGAGACGGAGGAGGGAGAGGATACTTTGACAGATTTGGAGTAGGAGGAGGAGGAGGAGGAGGAAGAAGAAGAGGACGAGGCGGAGGAGGGGAAGAGGAGGAGGAGGAGGAGGAGGAGGAGGAAGAGAGTGGATGATAAGAGAAGGACAAGGAGGAGGTGGACGGGAAGGGGCAGGGCAGGGGGGGATAAGAGGAGGCGGAGGAGGAGGCGGAGGAGGAGGGGGCAGAGCAGACGTGGCCATCGCTTGGAATGTACGCCCGTGCAGCGTGACAAGAGACAGCAGGGGTGAGGATGCCTCCTCCCAGAGTGGTCCGCAGCGCCTCGAGAGGTCCTATAGGGCCCGCCGCTCGACCACCATCGGGCCTCCGCCCGCCCAGGGGTGTGCAGCACAGGATGCGGCAGGAGAGGGCGCGAGTGCGCATGGATGCGGGGCCCCTGCCAGGCGCGAACGAAGGGCGAGAGGGGGAGCAGGAGGAGCAGGAGGGCGATGTGAGGAGGGAAGGACGGGGGAGGATGGGTAGGTGGAGGAGGAAGAGGGTGAGGAGGGGGAGGAGGGGGAGGAGGGGGAGGAGGGAAGGAGGGAAGGAGGGGGAGGAGGGGTAGGAGGGGCGATGTGAGGAGGGGAGGAGGGGGAGGAGGGGGAGGTGGAGGAGGAGGAGGGCGAGGATCAAGGACTGTGTCACGGCCCCCTTTGGGCCCCGTCTTCCGATTGATGACAGGCCTGTTTTTTTGTTGAAAGGGCCATCAAGAAGCGCAGGAACAAATCACCGTGGTTTGCCGTGCCCTTCCGATACCTGAGAGAAGGCGGAATTGGAGCCCGAGCGTGCGATGCAGACAAGCAGTCGCAGTTGGTTCTGGCGCTGCTCAGCCAGATGTGTGAGGCGAAGCTGCAGGTGCATGTAATCATCTACAGCGCTGGGACCCGGCGTGCGTGAACGTGGCGATCAATGGCAGTGCACGCTGGCATGTGTCGACGAGATACTCGAGGCGAAAGTGGAGTCCAGCGTCGTCAGCTACAGCGCCGAGATCAGTGCGTGCGGGAAGGACGATCCACGGCAGTGGACTCCTGCTCAGCGCTACGTGATAAAGACAAATCGCACCTCAAGCTCTGGGCTACGGGCCCGCTGGACCCCCTCTCCTCATGATGAGGAGGAGGAAGAAGAGGAGGAGGAGGAGGAGGAGGAAGAGGAGGAGGAGGAAGAGGAGGATCACACTCCAACTCATTCACAGGGAGATTCACTCCCAGACCGTCGATACCCAAGCCCGCTTGTATTCGAACACTCTCGCGCCTAGACGCTCACGGCGGACAGCTCCATGCTAATAGATGCATACTGTATATGGGGAGCTCCACGCAGCGACTAAGTATGTAGATGTATCCTACTCCTTCTCCTCCTCTTATCTTCCTCCGCTCCTTTTTTCATAGTTTCCTCCTACTCCGATTCCTTCATATTCAGATTTGCTACGACCCAGACATGATGATGAGGATGAGGATGTGGATGATGATGTTGATGATGATGATGGTGACGGTGGTGATGATGATGATGCTGATGGTGGTGCAATGATGCTGATGCTGATGATGATGATGATGATGATGATGATGATGATGATGATGATGATGATGATGATGATGATGATGATGATGATGATGATGATGTTGCTGCTGCTGCTGCTGCTGATGATGATGATGATGATGATGATGATGATGATGATGATGATGATGATGATGATGGCGGAACGAATTCTGAGGATGTCTCGAGCGAGGCGCGGAGTTCAGCACCCAAGGGGGGAGCCGCCAGGGGGTATTGCACTCCTCCGTTCGCGCCAAAATGGCGCGGATGTCTCGAGCAGTTTGCCTGCCTCATCGCCCAAACTCCTCCGCTATCGGAGCAGATTTGGAGGATGTCTCGAGCGAGGCGTTCATTTTGGGGCCAGATGTTGAGGATGTCTCGATCGGTCTGCTTGTTTTGGTGGCCCTGACTCGAGGATGTCTCGAGCGAGGCGCGGGTTTCAGCACCCCCTGGGGGGAGCCGCCAGGAGGTGTTGCGTTCCTCCTTTCGCGCCAAAATGGCGGTGATGTCTCGAGCGGGTTGCTTGTTTCCTGGCCCAACATCCTCCGCTTCCGGGGCACAGCTGGAGGATGTCTCGAGCGAGGCGCCCACTGCCGCCCCCAAGTGAGGCCTGATTTTGAGGATGGCTCCATCGTGTTGCCTGTGTTGGTGGCCACACTGGTGGGCACGGATCCTCGAGTTCTTGGTGGTTTACGTGTGTTCTTGTAGATTGGCCTTCTCTTGCGGCTCCAATCCGCAATGTTGCATCCACGTTTGTTCCTATAGATTGGGCCTCCTTTGGGGCACGAATCCTCCCAAGTGGGGTGCCCAGGAGGCTCCAGGAGGCCCCAGGAAGCCACACAAAGCCCCAAGAGGCTCTAGGAGGCCCCAGGAAACTCCAGGAGGTTTCTACGGGCCCCAGGACGCCCCAGGCTCAGGCGCAGAGACGCGTTCGTACTACTGAGACTAGTTCACACCCCAACTCATTCACAGTTAGAGTCACTCCCAGACCGCGAATACTCAAGCCCGCTTACATCCGAAAACTCTTGCACTCACGGCGGACAGGTCCATGATAATAGATGCACAGATGTGGAGCCCCACGCAGTGAACCATGTTTTCATCCGACCGACGTGCACTCTTGCGCGCAGCAGAACACCCGACGGCATGGAAAGGAATCGGTCGCCGCGCTGCCCCGCCATTTAAAAAGTCGCATGCCGACCAGATCAAGCTAACGAGATGGCAGAAAGGCATTGCCAAGGTGCGCCCGTCGGCCGACACCACACCATCACCCAACGTTGCCCCACCGCCCCTGTCCAGAAGCTTGTTTGCGGGATGTATGGTTATTATTGTTCTTCCCATGTCAAGCATCGTTCGAGGCTCCTCAAATATCTCAGGAAAGCTGGAGCCAAGTGCATGACAACGTGGGCTGCGACGAAGGATTGGATATTGAATCGCCGAGGAGGTCTACGACTTGCTGAAGCAGGCCGATCGGAGCTGAGATCCCAGCCAGCTCAGCCCAAGCGCAGAGGATCCAAGCGGGCAGGATGGGGGCCCTCTGCCTGCTCCTCCTCTCCCCACGCACACGGTCTTCAGCTAGGCCCCTGGAGCTCTCCGAAGAGGGCGGCCCCCGTCCGCTACGTTCGCCCGCGTCCTTCTGTGGACTCCCGCTTACCCAGTAAGAAGGAGCAGCAACATGCCAGCACAGCAAGTGTTATCTACCGTGACGCGCTGTATGTCACGTAGGTTTGCCTTGCAACCGACACGTGTGGAGTCCTCGAGCACCCAGCTGCACCACTCAATATTCAGGCCCCATGCTCTTGGCTTTTGAAGGAGACCGAGCATTTTCGCTTGTTAGCCCAAATGGGTTTCTGCACTGGCGCCGTTTGGTTTGATCCATGCATGTCCCGTGCAGCTCCTAACAAGCCGACACAGCTGCTCACCGTCAAGCGCGCCGCCCGAGGAGAGGAGGGTGAGGAGACCCACCGCCCCCCTTTTTCCGCCCTCTCTTTGCAACTTCTGTTCCCTCGACCAGCATCGTACCTCGCCGAGCTGGAGGCAGTTCGACCGGGATTCTAGTAGCAAGGATTGGTCAGGTTTGTGGCATGGTCGCATCAGAACTCACGTTTCCAGGCTGCGGTATCATCCGCGATGCCTCAGAAAACAGGGAGGAGGAGGGAGGAGGGGAGGAGGAGGAGGAGGAGGAGCAGGAGGAGGAGGTCCGTAGCCATTTTGGCTCAAGGCTAAACGGAGGACGCTAAAGTGACATAGCCGACTCTGATTAGCTTTGGCCCTTCCGTCGCCCGTTCTCGAGCGTCTCGTGGTTTGTGAACTTTCTTTCTGCTGCCTGCCCCTGCTGGCAGCTGCCTCTTTCCATCAACATCACAACGCCGTTCTGGCCCTCAAACCTTCCAGCGCACGCCCCGCCAGGCACCGCGCGCATGCCAGATGAGCCTGCGGCCTCTGTCCGCTCGCGCTCTCCGCAGGAGGTCAGGTCCG